CCCTACGTGTGCTCTGCCCCTTTTTTTCCCCCTCAGAGCCATCTTTCTGCCTGGCTCTCCCCTTCGATAAACTGCAACCTTCTTTCCAAAGCAGTCGCCACGTCGTTTCTTCCCGGCTTGGGACTGGACCCCGATGAAGACTTTTCCTTCCACACAACCGTGGCAAGCAAAGCCGTCAAATGAGACCAGACTCGACACTTCACAATTGTCTGGCTTAGCAACAGAAAGGCCGGGACTCCAACTGTGGTCGTACGCCGAGGGCTACCTGTATCTGACACGGCTGCGACATCCCCCAGAGTCACGTGATCAAAATTCACATGCCTGAACACGGACTCATATTTATGACGGTCGCGGTGGCCCGGGGTCACGTGATCCCCCATTTTGCGACTTTCTGACAAGCAAAGGTCGTAAAATGGGGTGAGAGTCACTTGACCGTCTCCCCTAGCAACAGAAACTTGGGGCTCCGTTGCGGTCGTAAGCCGAGGACTACCGGAACCCCAGCTTTCTTTTTTTTCCCTTCCCTTCAAGTGTAGTGGAGTCCCTGCTGTGTCCTTAGCAAGATTTTCCAGGTACAATTTGCCCTTGTTTCTTTCCTAGGGCTGAGGGAAAGGGGCTGGCCCAATGTCGTCCAGCGGGCTTCGTGGCCAAGGCAGGATTAGAACGCGGGGTCTCCCGGTTCTAACCCTGCCTTGAGTGCAGGACAAGAAGCAACGGAGGGGAACTGATCAAGGAGAGAAGCAACCTAGAACTAAGGAGAAACTTCCCGACAGTGAGAACAATTAACCAGTGGAACCACCTGCCTCCAGAAGTGGTGAATGCCCCAACACTGGAAGTTTTTAAGAAGAAATTGGACAACCATTTGTCTGAAATGGTATAGGGTTTCCTGCCTGAGCAGGGGGTTGGACGAGATGACCTCCAAGGTCCCTTCCAACTGTTATTCTATTCTATTCCATTCCATATTTTCTGTCCTATCCTATCCTATTCCATATTTACTATTCTGTTCTGTTCTTACCCTATCCTATCCCATCCCATCCCACTCTATCCTATCCCATTCTATTTTCTATTCTATTGTATTCTATTCTATATTCTATTCTATTCTGATCTATTCTATTCCATATTTTCTATCCTATCCTATCCTAACCTATTCCATATTTTCTATTCTGTTGTTCTTATCCTATCCCATCCCATCCCATCCCATTTTCTATTCTATTCTATTTCTATTCAATTCTAATTCTATTCTGTTCCTTATTCTATTCTATTTCTTATTCTATTCTATTCTCCTTTCTCTCCTATTCTATTCTAATTCTTATTCCTATTCTATTCTATATTCTATTCTGTTCTATTCTATTCCATATTTTCTATCCTATCCTATCTTAACCTATTCCATATTTTCTATTCTGTTGTTCTTATCCTATCCCATCCCATCCTATCCCATTTTATTTTCTATTCTATTTATATTCAATTCTAATTCTATTCCTTATTCTGTTCTATTCTTTCTCTCCTATTCTATTCTATTTCTAATTCTAATTCCTATTCTATTCTATATTCTATTCTGTTGTTTTATTCTATTCTATTCCATATTTTCTATTGTTGTTCTTATCCTATCCCATCCCATCCTATCCCATTCTTTTTTCTATTCTATTCTATTCTATTCTATTCTATTCTATTCTATTCTATTCAATTCTATTCTATTCTATTCTATTCTATTCTATTCTATTCTATTCTATTCTATTCCCATTCCGTTCTCTAGCCTGGTGCCTTAGTCACTACGCCAAACTGGATTTAGCAAGTTGGACATCCCTTCAGGAACGGACATGGCGGCTCAGATTAGCAGTGCCCAAATTAGCAAATCCTGGGGGACCGAGTCTCTCCGGATTAAGGAGAGACCAAGAGACGGCGATTCCTTGTTAAGGCTTCTTGATGATGCAAAACGTTTTCAAGTGGGGAAAAAAACTGAGGAACTCGTTTCCTTTTGGGAGGGGGGGGGAAAGCACCATTGGGACAACCATGACCAGGATGACGGAGACACTTAGAAGAACAACTAATCTTAGAAGAGAAACTAGGACGATTAAAGGCCTGGAGACTAAGACATACGAAAAACGGTTGCAGGATTTGGGTTTGGCTAATCTGGAGAAAAGGACTGTGGGAGGGGGACACGATAGCAAGTCTTGACGAGAAATGACGGACGGAAGCTCATCAAGGAGAGAAGCGACCTGGAACGAAGGAGAAACTTCCCAAGGGCGAGAACGATTAACCAGCGGAACAGCTTGCCACCGGAAGCCGTGGGCGGCTCATCGTTGGGAGGTTTTTAAGTAAAGAGACCGGGCAGCCAGTTGCCTGAAACAGTTTAGGGTTCCCTGCTCAAGCCGTGGGTTGGACTAGATGACCTCCGGGTTCCCTTCCAACTCTTGTGATTCTACGATTCTGTAAGGGTCTCCTGCTTGACTCAACATTGTTTTGAGCAGGAGGGACTGGACTAGACGAGACCCCTTCCCACTCTTGTGATTCTATGATTCTGTAAGGGTCTCCTGTTTGAGCAGGGGAGGTGGACTAGATGACCTCCAAGGTCCCTTCCAACTGTTATTCTACGATTCTGTTAAGGGTCTCCTGCTTGCCTGGACAGCCACTTGTCTCAAATTGTTTGAGCAGGGGGGGACTGGACTAGACAAAGCCCCTTCCCATTCTTGTGATTCTATGATTCTGTAAGGGTCTCCTGTTTGAGCAGGGGGGTGGACTAGATGACCTCCAAGGTCCCTTCCAACTGTTATTCTACGATTTTGTTAAGGGTCTCCTGCTTGCCTAGACAGCCACGTGGTCTCAAATTGTATAGGGTCCCCTGCTTGAGCTGGGGGGTTGGACTAGAAGACCTCCAAGGTCCCTTCCACACAATCCTGTGTGATTGATACACAGGAATCGTGGTTTTGTGGAAACCACTGGGCACCGATCGGTTCTAGAGTCAGGATCACAAGCGCCATGCATCCAGTAACGGACAGAACGTTCAATAAAAGCCTTTCTTTTCTTAATCGCCATTGAGGGTCATTAGAGATCCTCCGATGGGCAGCATCGGAGAAAAGCACTTGGTGAGTCCACCATCTTTCTGGAACAAAGAAAAAACCAAAAAACGGCCGGCTATGGAATTCTGGGAGTTGAAGTCCAAGCACGTTAAGGTGGCCAAATTTGAAAAGCGCTGATTTAAAGGGAAGGTTTCATCGGTCCGCTTCTCCTCCCTCGAAGAGAAAGGGTAAAAAAATGATAACATTTCTCAAGCGTACCAAAGACCCAGACGAGAGAAAATATAAGCCAGAGGCCCTACGTTGGCAAAATCCCCCCCAAAATATATAGGTAGTCTATTTGTTTAGTGACCAAGGTTACAGTGGCATTGAAAAAAATGAGTTACGACCGTTTTTTCGCATTTATGACCGTTGCAGCCCCCTCCCCGTGGTCAGCTGATCAAAATTGGCAATCGACTCGTATTGCAGTGTCATGCGATCCCCTTTTTGCGGCCTTGTGACAAGCAACTCCAGAAATTGTGGGTGCTCCACAACACTGGAGCTTTTTAAGAAGAGAGTGGACAACATTATGGGATTTCCTGCCTGAGCAAAGGGGGGGGGTTTGGACTAGAAGACCTCCAAGGTCCCTTCCAACTCTGTGATTTTCTTAAGATCAACGGGGAAGCCAGATTCACCTCACAACCCTGTTGCTCCTTTAATAGCTGCCGCGATTCACTGAAGAGTTGTGGCGAGAGAGGTCGCACGACGGGGCAAAAATCTCTTCAGCAACTGTCTCGCTTTAGCAACAGAAATTCAGGATCAATCGCTATCCTTTTTACAATTGTGGTGGAACCTACAGCAAATTTTTAAAAAAAGGATTATTTTTCTTCCACAGTTGTTTCTTTTAGGTATTGTGCAAGATTTAGATGCAAAAGAAACAAATTTGATGCTTTATTGTTTAACTGCTGCTCGTTTGTTGATAGCCCAAAATTGGAAGAGCCCAATTCTGCCAACAATGGAAGACTGGAGATTGAA